CTCAGGAATTTCATCTACTACCCAAGATGAAACAAAAATGATATGTAATATGAAGCAATGTAATTACGAGTAGCGTTAACAAATTCAGGATTTAATTATATACAATAAGAAAAAGGATTTAATGATAGAAGTATGCTTTAAATATTTTGCTCTAGCATATTTTTTGTACACTTCATAACAGTGTGCATTACTTCCATTTAAATTTGTTTTAGTAATATGAAAAGAAGTTTATTTGCATGCTTTTTCTGCCTATATTCATTTGGAGTTTTTTTTTAAAAAATAAGATTAGTAAGAATTGTTTACGGGTTTTTTTTAAGTACTGTATTTTAAATTTTCAATTTAGATCCTCTTAAAAGCTATAAGTTTTGCTCAGTTTCAGAGTTCTTATTTCAAGGGTGTAAGACATGGAGACACAAAGAATAATTGCGTGAGAACTTACACTGCAAACAATTTCGGATCTAATTACGGTATACGATCAAGTACCGGCACTTTGGTTGCACCATCCGTAAAATACTGTACAAAACTTTTTGTAGTAATATTTATTTAAATAGAGAGACTCAGTCATTTTACGTTAATTATTACTGTAAAAATTATGGTTCATCAGATCTTTTGTTCCGTAACATAATCCGTTAAAATGGATTTCATGGTAAAAAATACTGGCATTCTGAATGGTGGTAATTTTTACCGGAATTCTATCCTGAATTTTTTACAGTAAAGAAAGCACCTATCCAAATGTGGAGTTTTTGATGATATAAAGTTTTAACGGTTTTAAAATAAACTAAATTCAAATTTTTTTGAATATATTCTGTAGAAAAAAAAACCCATAGTTAGGAAAAAAAGTATGTGATTAAATTGTTGTAATTAAACTTGACTTGCTTTTTGATTTGTTATAATTGATTTATATAATAAGTTTTGGCAGAAAATTTTTGCTTAAAATGATTTTATAATAATATTTCTCAGAAAATCAAATATTTTTTAAAAAAAAAATGGCAAAGAGGTAGGGTTGGAAAGCTGCATTAGGGCAGGCTCTTATTTTATGCCCTATTTGTTTCTATTTGATCTAGGTACTTAATCGGAACCGAGGATAAATATGGTATTAATAAATTTTAAGAGATTTTCTATTTTTCGACAAAATATTCGTTTATTTTTTCAAAAATGAATGCCTTTATTGCCACAGATTGCACCTCATTATTATTTTAATATACTTTTATTTGAGAAAATTTGTGAGATAGATGGAGTAGATAGAGATAAAAGGAGTATATGCAAATTAACGCTTCTTTTTAATAAAATAATCGTGCGACTTTTCTGAAGCAATTTTTTAGGCTCTTTTGACTAAATAATGCTTTAATAACCTAAATAGTGACGCCATATTTTAAGTCAAAGTACACTGTAAAAAATTACTGATCAAATTACAGTAAAAACTATCGGCACTTAACGTGTAGATACTTTTTCATGTAAAGTTCATTTTTACTTGAACATGCTGCAAAACGAAACACCTTATATACCGTCATTTTTACAGTAATAATTACAGTAAAATTACTGAATCATTGTAAATAAATAAATATTACTGTAAAAAATGTGGTACAATAATTTATGATAAAAATGGATTTTGTGGATGATTCGAATTCAACAATAATTACACAAATTGTAATAATAAAAAGGATTTTATTTCATTGTGGTTCAGTGGTTAAATCCAAACTGAAACTTAAAAAGTGAAGAAAAAATAATAAAAAAATTGTTTGCGCTCAGCGCCATCTGTTATTATAAATCCTCAGCAGTTACATATGCTTCATAGTGTAATAACAATTGTGACCAAACTATGGTCTCGTGCCTTAAATGGTACGCGTGCCATTGGTCCGCCATCCCTGGCGTAGGGTCTCGGAGGTTCTTAAGTGAAGCAGGGTGGCCACCCAAATCAGGTTTTAAATTTCCTTGATTTTTCCAGGTAAAAATCTTACAATTTACAAAGTCAGTGTTTTTTTTTCCTTTCTCATAAAGTATAGGATATGGGTACAAGAAAAGTGTCAATGTTAAAAAGTATTTTATTTAAAATGTTAACGTTCTTTAATATATCATCTTGAAAAAATAGACTAAATTTATTTTAACAATTTGACAAGATCTTGTTTTATTTTTTGACGTTTTCGGTACAATATTAATTTTTAAAAATTAAGAAGCGTGGAGAAAATATGTTTTGCTCGTAGAATATATTGAATACATTTTTTAAAATGTGTAACTTATAGTAGTCTTCGCTCTAAGTGTACCTATACCAAACGCAGAATGACCGAAAAAAACCTTGGATAAGTAATATTTAATATAGTATTTTCATTAAGCAAAAGAAAACCAGTGGTTCTCTCTTAACACTTTTATTGAAATAGGGAACTATTCATTAATTAAAATGAATATTTCAGAACAATAGGATGTATAATCTATTCGTAGAAAAAGTGCATGGAATATTTTAAAAACAAAGCAAAAAGTTTATTTGTAAGAAATCAATAATCAAAAAGTAACAAAAATTTTACCCCACAAAAGTCATCGTACACTTAAATGCTTTCGGATTTCAGAATTAAAATTATCGTCGATAGATTTAATTTTTTTATTCGTTTTTCATCTAATTTTTTATTTATTTGCAATTTAGTATCGAATTTATGATAGCAAAATTATATATTAATTCTACTTGCTAACTCCGAAATATTTTATAATTTAAAAACGACTCGTAATAAAACAATAGACAACATTTGAAAGTTGATTATTTGTCATCATATGAGGTAAATCAAAATTGAATATTGCTAAATTAGTTTAATGTGTCCTATTCCTCAATGCAACATGTGATAAAATGCTTCAAAGGACTTCATATGAGAGATTTAAATTATAAAATTTGTGGAAAAATTCATTAATTCACATTTGAATGTTGTAAAAGAAATTTGTTCGTTTTCCAAAACAAACAAAGTTTTGTTTTTCTTCTTCTTAATAAACACATATGGATAAAAAAAACTTATATACATCATTTAACATGTTTCCTATACATTCCTTAGTCTTTGTTAGCTTTTTAGGGTAAAAGGAGAAACAGTTTTGGAAATATTATCTCTGGAATGCAAGGCACTTTACGAACTTTCGATATTGTGATTATTACACAACTTGAATCAAATATTTATCGACAAATCAGAAAAATTAAATGTTAAAATAGTGTTGGTTTTTAAAAAAAATCTTTTTTAAATTAGAATATGTAACAAAAGTTTAAAATGAAATCGAGAAAATTAGCATTAATTGCAACGATTTGTCGACAAACATTGCTGTTAGCAATTGTAAGAAAATGTGTGATTGGTTGACTTGGCTGAGAAAAAATAATTTACAGATTTCATTGAATGGAAGCTTTCAGAAAAAGAGCGCAATATAAAATTCATTGTTATTAAATTATAACCAACTAATTTTTGGAGAATTTCATAAAGTTAAAAATACTAAAACATTTTGAATCACTTCTTAAAATAGAAAAAAAAAATGCCATCAAAGCAGCGTAACAAACTTGAACCATAAATGGATTCAGCCCACGAACTAGAAGGGAAAAAAAAAACTAAATTTTATAAACAGAAGCAAATATCCTAACCCCTTCTTCCAACTCCACCGCAATCTTTGCTTTTCCTAAACTGCACTGCCTCCAAAGAGGTCAAAGGTTTCTCCATTCTTTTAGCAACATGATCGAGTTTTTATGTGTCATTCTACACTGGTGGACAAAATTAAGAGATGGAAGTCATTTTCCCAAATATCTCAAAAAATACTGAATATAAATAAATGAAATTTGGTATGGATATAGCTTATTCCATGATAATAAAGTATGGAAAATAAAAATGAAAGTGCCATTCACTGGCAAGACCTATTGCCAATAAATCCAATGAAGTCTGAACTTAAGGATAAAAGATGACAATAAAAGTGAGGCTTGTACAGTGTGTGTTGC